CCAGAGTCAGCAGCAGGAGGGAGCAGTGGCTGCAAGCCCCCATTGCCCCTCAGGAGCCGGGGGAGTTGGAGAAGCCCTGAGGGGTGATTAGGCCTGGGAGGGGTGGGTGGTGGATGGATAGGGTCAATGGGGAAAAAAGGGGGAAGGGATATCTACAATACTTTTAACAAGGACAAATTAAAAAGTAACATTATGTAAAAAATTTAAATAGTTACATATTTTGAACTACTATTTATTCAAAGGCAAAAAAAGTGTCAACCTTGAATTTCTGGATTCATTCTTTAAGTTACCCATGCATCAAGGATACTGCTCTATTCCTGTGATCCAAGTTCTGTACAGTGATCAGCTGTATTTAGAGAGTATATATTAACTCCATTTATTCAAACCAAGAGGGCTTTAGAGTCTGCAGATATAAGCCTTTCGGGATAACTTTCTTTGTCAGCATATTTAATTATCATTGATTATTCTTATCCTTAAAATATCTTGCCAGTGCTAAGCATCTTTCCAAGGCTCTATTCAATTCACATAAATTAATAATTTTACCCCTGGGTGATTATTCACATTAGCAATTGCTTTACATTATAATCAACAACTATGCAAACTTCCTCTAAAAAGTAGTATTACAACAGGCTCTACAGGAATGGAATCAAAATATATTTTAAATAATTGATTCTTGAGAAACCAATAGTATATGTATTGTGTATATTTATTTAGCCAAAAAGAGGTCTTTAAAAACTCCTAAGCAAACATACGTAAAAAAAAAAAAAAAAAAAAAAAATTAGAAAGAGGAAGTATGATGAACTTTTGTCTTCCACAAGTACCTGGTGCTGATTATTGCCTCACTTTAGAAAACTAATGTGCTAGAGACAAAGAGATTGCTCTTACATAACCGGAATCCACATGCACCTAAAGAGGTAAACTCATGCCCCACTTCAACGTTCATCCACCTTTAGAACTAAAATAAAAAGAGAGCCACATTTTGTGAATTACTTAAAGCTACTATCAAATTTCCTTGTAAATAAAATTGTTAACCAGCTGCAGACTTTTTAAAACTTTTAAAAAAATCCATTTAAGAACTTTATAGTTTAATGTCTCATGAATTAGTACAGGGCATTATAACACATCTTATGTAGTGATTTTAAGTCAGCTTATAGTTGTCTGAGTAACAATTCAAGATTTAACCTAGAGCTCAATTTCACCACTGCTACAGTTCTCAGGATATTTTTGCCAGGAATAGAGCATTCCATTCATTGTTCTGAATGGGCTGTCTGCTGCCAACTAGTAACTACTTAAGTTACCAGGTATTCTTAAGGGCAAATTTTTTCAGGAACTCCTGGGAACTAAGAAGATGTTAATACTCAAATATCTGGCATTTCTCAATCCAGTTTTGGGGGCATTTTAAATATTCATTGAAAGTTAAACAAAACATTACATAATAACTCCCCATTCTGCAGAATTTATATATTACCATACTTCTAATTACAGAGAAAATATCTATCCTGCCAGCAAAACTTAATTCTTCCTTCTGATGAAGCATTTATGGCATGATGTACTTATGGGAGCAATATGAAACATCTATCGATAGTTTAAAAAGCTTGGCAGATGTGTTCTAATTGATTCAAAAGCAAATTTAAATGCAGATTTTATGTATTAACTATAAACAAGAGAGCTGCATTTTATTTCTAATATATTTATTACAAGAACATTTTTTTGGAGACTTTTAATTTCAAGTTGATATTATGACAATATTTCTTGTCACCTGTAATAGACATCAATCCATAGAAAAGTCAAGAGTGGACTAAATAGTGCTTAACCATAATTATAAGGCCATGTTAACCAGATTAGATCCTATCATAATCACTATTAATTTCCTTTTACAAATCACCTAAATAAATTATACTATTTTAAATTTCAAATGAAGATATGGGATACTGTTTTCCTATGACAATTTTCTGCTTCTAGCAAAGTTTAGTAAAAGGTCTAAGCAATTCTCTGACCTCAAATTTATAATGAAAAATCCAAGGAATCACAACTCATAACCAAGTATCCCTAAAAGCTTTACAGTAGCATTCTACTTTTCTGAATTTTTAAAAAAGTTGTTGGTTGCTATTTAGTAGCAATAGTTTTCAAAATAGTGTTATTTTGACAATCAAATCTAATAAGAAGATGATCAGGACCACAAATGGAACCTATGTGAATATCTGAAAAGGCTAACAATCTAAATCCCATTCCTGAATGTCCGTATGAATGCCAAGTCAAGTTGGGCTTCACAATTTGCTTCTTTGTGTTTTATATGAGAAACAATGTCTATCTAGTGACTTTCAAAAAACACTTTCAGAATTTTAAATAGTTTATTGAAAAGAAATATCTAGAATCTCCAACATTTTTATTCTTCATGTTGAATAAGAAGTTGGATAAGGTCTTCATGGATCTTTAGGATTCAGTCATAGAACATTCTATTATTCTGGAACCAAAATAAATGACCCATCTTCTGAGAGTAAAAGCTCTTCTGTAAATTACTCTTGCTATTAAATACTAATAAGTTAGAGAAATTTAAAAGTTAATTCTGATTTTAAACACATTTTAGATTGGCTCCATTTCTTTTATTTATATGAAACTTAGAACTGAAAATTTTTAATTTAGAAGATGATCTAGTAGGGTAGGATTAACTTGGTGTCCAAATCCAATTACATATTTGTCTATTTCCCTGGGTTTGCATTATATCAAATATCAACCAGAATTTTTTTTTTTTATTAATCCTCACCCAGGGATATTTTCTCCATCGATTTTTAGAGAGAGTGGAAGGGAGAAGGGGTGGAGGAGGAAGAAAGAAACAGGTGGAAAAATAAAACAGAAGAAAACAAAAATGTATCATCAATAGCAATAATAAATACTGAAAAAAGTAAATTAATTATATTTCAATCCATTATATAAATTATTTACTGCTTAGTTTAAAATACTCTTATTTTTACAGACTGGACTATCACTGTGGTTTAAATTTGTCTTAAGGTTAGAAAAATACAAACCTGTAAACAGAAGCTCTCAATTATAAGAGGAAAGTATCATTACTTACCACCTTTGTGAAAACACATTCATAATAGAGCATCATCTTTTGGAGCACCATTCCATTTGCTCAGAGAAACTTGAAATACTAGAGACTCTTCATTTTTTATTATTCTTTCCATTTTTTCATAATTTTACATTGAAAATGTTATATTAAAATTATTTCTGTACTCACCTCCTTGAACAAAAATTAGTTTTATGGGCAGAGTAGATGGAGCAGTAGCAAAATGGAGGTAATGAAAGTGGACACGTACTCCCCTGAGGGAAACTCACAGGGGTGTGTGCAAAGCCTTGTTGCACTGTTATTTGGCATAGCAATGACAGAATTCTTGAATTTGTAATAAAAAAACAAAAGACAAACACACACATGCGCACAACAATCCTTAACTACCTGGGGAGTATTAAAAAAAATCAGTATGGCAGAAATATAATTTGTCTTATAAAACCATCAACTTTCCCAAATAAATTTCAATATATTTTGACAGCATTAAAAAAAATAACATACTTATAAATAATACTACTGAATAATCATTTAAGAAGTAGTAAGGATTTTATTTTGAAAAGGGGAGTATTTTAGAGTATTTTGCATGTACTAAGATACAAACCTATTTTTGATAACCATCACTAACATATTTTTTTAATAATACCCAAACACATTTATTTATTTTAACATAGTTTTACCAGTTACCAGATATATCATATTTGTGGTCTATTGTAAGTTATTAGCAAATAAAACTGGTTCAGAAAATTTTATAGTATAAATTATTGCTGTTTTAGTTTCTTAAGCAAACTTAGTCAACTAAATCATGAATACATTTGGAATGAGTTAAAAACAGAATGTTTCAAATAGACATTCATATGCAAGTTAAACTATGAAGATTTACTTTAAAGTTGTATCACTCCCATATTGTTATGCATACACTCTAAAATAATTGTATCATTTCCTACCATCTAATTGTATGCTTTTAAATTTACAAATAAATTACAAGTACAAACAGGCATGACTGAGAGAAGAGCTGAGGAAAGGCTTTAGGCCCAAATAAATATATAAAAAAGTACAGCCCATGTATAAAATTATCTTCACATTTCTGGCATAGAGATGTAACATTGAAGGTGTTAATAAAACATTGAATAGAAATGAAACACACATATTGACTCAAAAAAATCTTTGTGTGTGTGTGTGTGTGTGTGTGTGTGTGTGTGTGTGAGAGAGAGAGAGAGAGAGAGAGAGAGAGAGAGAGAGAGAGAGAAAGAGAGAGAGAGGGAGTAAGATAAATTATTTACACTATGGGCATTTCAGGCTTGAAAATGCAAAGAAAATCAAATCAAAGTAAGATATTAATAATAAGGATTAAGGAGGACAGCTGTTTGAATTCTCCTGAAACCACCTAACTTTCTCAAACATTTCCCAAAGAACCAGTCCATGAAAAGTTTTTCTAAAAGAGTATTTTCATTTCAGGAACTTTCCAAGTTTCAGGTCTGCCCTACTTTAAGGACAGCCAAAGCATTGTTTCAGGATTTTATCAGCAACTGTGCTTTTCGTTCTCATTAGTGGTTAATTAATTTTACCTATATATTCATAAACATTTAACTCTTCATATAACACACTAAAATTTTGTCTAAAACAAAATGAAACTTGCTAGCCTACTACTCTCAAATATGTAAGGCAACACCAAGAGAAATGTGGGTTACTATATTATGGTACAATGACTCGCCAATGGGGAGAAAAATGAGTTTTAAAACAATCATTTTCAGCGGATCCCTGCCCTGGCCACCGCAGTCACTGGTTCTGAAGCCATCTCCTCACCAGTTAAGCACAAATGCAAGCCCGCACTCCCTAGGGCTCTGTCTCCAGGGAACAATTTTCACCAGAACCCAACCGCAATAACTCGCATACTTTCACACAGACTCCGGAGCACACATCCGCTGGACTTTACCTATTTTTATGCCGCGTCTTGAGCAAGTTTCTTCCAAAGGGAGCCATGGTCGCCAGGCAAGTGCACAGCAAGAGCTTATGCCCAAGTTATCTGAGGATGGGAGGTAGGAGCGCCTGGGTTCCTGGGATGAAGGGAGGCGGCCCGGCAGCTTCCTGCTCACCTCCTGCGATGCCCCTGGCTTTCAGCTCATTAGCAGCAGCAGGCTGAGAGCGCTGCTGGGAGTTGTGCAACTGCTGCCTAACTTTGAACTGCGGGATTGTTGTGGCTGCTGCACCTTTGGAGACCTGCCCAGCCTCAGCCTCAAAGAAAGCATTTGGAAGCAGGAAAAGAAAAAAAAAAAAAAAAAAAGAAAGAAAGAAAAAAAGGAGAGAGGAAGGGAGGGGGACTCTATTGTGTTCTGTGCTTATTTGCAGACTTGCTAAACTCTGAGCACTGCCAACCACGCGGGCAGGTTCATACCCATGGAATGAGAACTCCGCTGGGCTTGGAAACCCCCTCCCTCCTCTCCACACCCAGCCACACAGGGTGAGCTGAGCACACACCTAAAAGGATTAGAAGTAAATTCCCCCACCTCCCCGCAGCTCCAGTCGGGAATAGCATCTGATCTGGCAAGTTGGAGTGAGGGGTGAGGGCCCAGAACTCTGCCCGCGGATTCCACAGGAAAACCCCTGCCCCTGGGGTGCCTGTGCAGGGAGGTACACGGAGGAGGAGCGCAGCTGGAGCCGGAGCGCGGGTGGTCACAGGCTCCTCCCCGGGACCCCAGGCCCCCAGTTCAGGGCTCTCAGAGCCGCCCCGGACGCCACTCCTCCACGCTCCTCATTCATCTTCCCGAAGGTGAAGGACCAAAGGACCCCTGAGCTCAGCACTGGCCTGGAGACCAGTCGGGATTTGGAGTCCGACTTCCCAGGGGTTCATGCCAGCCCTTGCCTCATCTTGGGCTTTTACTGGGCCTTCCGGGGTCTGGGAGTTCGAAGGAAGAGACAAATGTTTGTTCCCGCCCCTCAGCCCCTCACTCAACCAGCAAAGTGACAAGACGCGCAGGGAACTCCAGGTGCGCAGTGGAGGGCGAGGGGTGGGCAGGCATCCCCGGGTCCCAAGCTGCTCGAACCCAGGACCTGGGCAGCCAGCGCTTGCCCCCTGAGCTTCCCCTTCGCGGAGGTGAGGCCTGCTGAGTTTTCCCAAGATATTTTTTTCTAGGATTTCCTCTCCCCAGTCCCCTCCCTCCTGCCCTCCTCCCACTCCTGGCACAAAGCATCTAATCATTGGCTTCCTCAGCAAAGGGAGCCAGGGAAAGAAGTCAAAGGACTGTAGATTCATTGGGAATCACACTTTAGGCTTGTGGGTCTCTGACCCTGGCAGAGAGCATGGTGGTTCACACTTTCTTTGGGACTCTAGACTCATCCCCACCAACATCAAACAACAAAAAAGTGACCAAAATTGATTATCCTTTTATATGAACGGATTTATTAAGGATTCTACAGAGCTAAAAATTTTCCTTCAATAGCTATCATATCTACCATCATAATTCTTCTCTAGTACACTATATTGCATAGTTCTATATCTATGTATACATATATGCAATTTACATATTATAAAATGTGTTATTTATTTATAATGTACTTGTATATAAGATATATATATCCATCTTGGATATATATCAGTTTCAGTTCTTGATTTTTTTTACAAGCACATCACAAAAAAAATTTTGATTTAAACTATTGTGGATGATCATCTAGTTATTCTAAATTGTTCTAAACACCATCACCTAAAGGTATACTGTTTATCTATTAATATAATGCCTGCTGTCAATTTGCAAAGAATTTTGTATTTACAAATGCCTGTTTCCTGTAGTTTCGGTTCTCCACCCTTATTAAGATTATTTGTACAGAGAGTTTTCATATAAAACGTTTTTCAATAAAGGAGTTTTAATGGAACAAGAGGAAACATTACATCTTTATTAGTATAATCTTATGTTAAGTTTCAAGTAAGCTCAAATGAGTGTCATTTATGATGTTGTTATTCCTCATATAAAATATTCTATTAATGCTGTTCATGCAAGCTCTTTGATGTGTAAGAATTAAAACACAGGGTTAAAGTCCCTCAGATATTAAAAGCTAAAAGGACTCACAACATGGGTACTCACATCTAAATAGGAAAATAAGCAAATAACAATTTTAAAAGAGAAGAACAAAACCTTGTTGTTGTTGTTTTTTTTAAATCAACTTTACTAGTAACCAGATATTGTAGGTAACTGGAAAAGATATTTCATTTTGCATCTATCAAGTTGCCTGATTTTTAAAATGATAATGCTCAAGTCTGTCAGTATGATGGTCAGAGTATACTAACTACCTGAGTAGTAGAGATTGATAATATCCCTGATAAAAATGAATCTGGCTATGTACATCAATAACCTTCAAAATATTTAAACTCTTTTATCCAAGTTGATTCTCATAAGGAAATAATCAGAGTTTCATATAAAGGCCTATATTCATTGATATTCATTTGAGAATTAAGTAAAATATTGCATATAAGAGTTGACACAGAGTATTAGACAAAGTAATATATATATATATTACATCTATATATATACACACATATATATATATTTATTTTTAAACAGGGATTATAGGCCGACTCTGGCTGCATGACTTTGCAGTGATATCTTGGAGCATTGATTAGTTCCTCCCAAAGATGTTTCACTTCTTTAGAAGAAGGCATTTTTTAAAACTTACTTTTACTATTAGTTAGGCCCATACTCTGAAAAATTAGATGTTAAATTGAAAAACAAGAGTGAGTTGCAAATTATCTTTTATTTGATGTCATACAAATTATTTTTGTCTAGTAGAAATATTACTCAAAAAGTTATGGTTTTATTGCCCTGTAGAATATCTCCAATTGATCAGAGCTTGCTGGCCAGGGGTGAAGATGGTGGAGGGGGGAGTGGGAGGGACCGAGAGGTTGGCTGTTCCTGCTTGTTCACTAGCCCTTTCTCCCAATGCCTGTCACCCTCTGTGTGGGGCCACAGGCGAGGGCAAGGGCACTGCCCAAATCTGGCACTGCCCAAATCTGCTGCCACCCACCCCTGGTTTCCTGTTGGACATTAGGTGATCAGGGCCTGCGTTGAGCATCTTCCCCCTGGTGGTCAGTGTGCATCATAGCGACTGGTTGTTCCACCATTTGGTCAATTTGCATATTACCCTTTTATCATATAGGAAAGCACTCTTTTCTATCCTCTTTTGGACAGCTTTATACTTCTGCTGCATCCCTCATTAATAAATTTAGCCAATCTTTGATACTTGCCTACTATACATTTGTATGAGATTCATACATTCCAGATTTTTAAAACTTATACATTAAAACATTCAGAATGTATTCTTTTTTGAATCAACAGGAAATCTTCGTAGAAGAAAGATTCCATACAATCTCCACCTTTCTTAAAAGATAAAATGTGTAAAATAAGTTTTGATGGTAGAACACAAAGTGTCCTTTTATTCACCTATGAGTATGAAGCTCAACCAAAATATATAGAAAATGTGTACATTTAAATTATCATGAAAAATCAACATGAAAATGGTACATTACACTTGATATGAAAAAAAAAGTGAATGAAGATTTTTCACAACCAAATGAAATGTACTTAATCTATGCTCGAGTTTATCTCAAAAGCCAAACAAGGTTAAAACATTAAAACATGTATTCTGATAGAAAACCCTTTTTGTTTCTTAGGAGGAGGTCTATGCTTTATTCAGAACATAAAAAATTATAAATAACATTATACAATAAAGTACAGCTATAAAATCTGAAACAACTCAAGCAATGCTTTTATTTAGATTATCAAAAATAAAGTTATAACTGCAAATTTTCTTTTGCCTTCAATATCAATTCCCTCTAAAATAATTTTGGACTACTTTATAGTTTCCAAGGAAAACTAAAAATTGTTAGAGCTGCTCAGTGTCATCATAAGAATGAAAACACTTTGCAAAAACAATTTTACTAGTAATAACAAGTAACTAAAAACGGTGGTTATTGCTAACAACCCCAACCTGTACTAAAACAGCCTAACCTATGTATGTGTTCATAAATGTTTCACTGGGAACATAGCTGCTCCTGAGAGGGCAGGGTGGGGTGAGGATGAGCTCCCAACTCCGCCCCACAAGGCAGAGTTATCCCTAGCCCTCACCCAACCAATCAGGGTTAGCCGAGGCAGTGACATCACCACCGACCGGAGTAAAACCCCTGGACTGGGAGAAATCCGCGCTCTTCCGCCATGCCGCCGGCGTGAGTGGGAGGAGCCCTTGCTAGCATGGAAAAGGCTCTTTTGTTTATTGCATGGGACTCGGCTCCCTGGTGGTCCTTGGGGATCACGAAGTCTGGGCGTAACATATGGGGGAATTCGTCCGGGATCCTCAGTCAGGATCATGAGGGAAACCCCTATCCGGAGAGCCTGACTGGTTGCGGTAGGTGTGTGCACGCTCTGGAGGGATGTAAAACCCCTCATGGAATTGGTGCCCAAAGACGCCTGGTGAACGCACCATGAAGGCCACGGGCAGGAGGATCAGAAGACGTTCTGACCTCCCTAGAGGGACCCTCATGGGGAGAGGAATGAATCCTCTTCAGGACGAGGTGAGTGGCGTAAGCCGTTACCTCACCTGCGGAAAGTGAGCCTTTCCCAGGACTGAGTTTGGTATCTGTGGGCGACATGGTGCGCCAGGATGGAGCCAGCGAAGTGTGGCCAGCGTGGTGGTGCGGGGCCCCCTGGAGGCGTTGTGTCTGAGTGGGGGCTCCCGCGTGGCTCAGTCTGCACGTTGGAGCACGGCTGGGCAGTGGTGGCCTTGCTCGGGGAGCAGGCACTTGGGTTAATTTGCTGGCTGCCTGGAGAAGGGGAAGTGGAGCTGGGAAGCCGCTGGGGAGACCCAAACTTTCTCCTTGGGGGCTGCCTGAGTAGGGTGGCTGGGGTGGCCGAAGCAGCCTGGCTCCGGGAACCTGGGCCGGAGTGGAGGCCTCGGGTCCGTGGCAACATCCAGTAAGGAAGAAGAGCTCAAGGGCGAATCTCTGTGCTCAGTAAAGTGAAAAGGCCAGTTCAAAATGAGTGCGCATAGTTTGGGCTGTGCTTAAAACGCTTTTCTGTGTACAGAATGAGCTTTAAAACTGGGAGATAAATTAAACTAGTTTCCCAAGACATTGTAAGCAGCTTTTGAAATTCCCCGCCATGGGGCGGAAACTAGGTGGTAATGGTAACAAGTTTAAGTGAATGGTGGTGAATGGCAGGGAGTCTTCAGCTAAAGAATGTGTTCATTTGCATGTGAATGCTGAAAAAAAAA